ACAATAATATAAAAAGCGATCACAACTCAAGATGTCTTAAGTAGGTGGGTAATCAAGTAAACCAGAGTAATATAAATAGCTCGTTTATTTAGCCCATAATAACGTTATTTCTAGTGAAGTTGTCCATTCGTAATGAATTTACGTAATAAACATTTGAAATCATGATTTAGATTTTCTGATAATAGATTTTTAATTCTTGCTGGCCTAGACGATTAAAATTATTAATTAACTCAGTAACTTCTGTTAACATTTGATGGTTGCACAAATAAACAACTAACTGAACATAATTTCCAGCCTTAACAGAATATCGCCATCGAAATTATCTATTTGCACGAAAGACACCAACGGTCTCGTGTCGCTAGAGCAAATTCCGGCCGGTTCTGACTCGGGAGGCAGCCACAAGGAAGATGCCCGATCGATATCTAGCGAAGAGTTTCTTGCAATGGAACGTTCTACTGAACTCGAAGATACGGCGCCCGATAGTCGTATTTATAAAGAAACTGATGCTCATAAATTAAATGGTAAGTACGTGGTTTTCATTCGTGGTTTTCAAATAATGGCGGTCGTGATATTCACGCAATGATGTATCTTAATTATTAGCATAGATTAACGAAAGGAGTCATAAATTCTAAATGCAGCTTACTATGTGACGCAACAGTCAGTCTTAATTGCATTAGGGAAATGTTGCTACTGCTCAAATATTGTTGTTCAGTATTCACTAGGTTGTGACAATATTCACCAATTTAGCGCAACAAAAAAATCCTTAGTCTTGCAATAGTGAAATGAAAACAAGAGATCTTTACTTTTGTTAACAAAACTTAAACTCATTTCATATAACATTTCATATAACACCTTTAACACACACAATCACGTCTCAGTTTTATTCCTGTGTATTTTTACAACATTCGAATCTTAAACCGTTAGTAAAAAAAATCTATATCGAAACTATGAATGATATGTATACCAGTAAACCTCTAACTATTTCAATAAATAAGTGAAATAGAGGTTTTAAATTTATAAGTCAATTAAGAAGTTACTGTAGAAAAAAAAAACAATTGACAATGCATTAAACTCAATCAATCACAATCAATTAAAACTATGCATTAAAAAAAATCGTTAATCCGCTTTACCACCTAACAATGACCGATGGCGATTGCATGCCGCAGAGATGCGAATGTTGCGATGATGTGTGAAGTAACGAGAATGGATAGAATACGGAATGAATATGTTAGAGGAAGTCTGAAAGTGGCACCTGTGTCAGAGAAGCTGAGGAGTGCGCGTTTGGGATGGTATGGACATGTGATAAGACGAAATGAAAATGAGGTTGGTAAGTGAATGTTAACTATGAATGTGGAAGGATATAGAGGTAGAGGTAGACCTAAAAAGAAATGGATGGATTGCGTGAAAGACGATATGGGTAATAAGGGAGTGAGCGAAGAAATGATATATGATAGAAGAGTATGGAAGGAGAAAACACGTTGCGCCGACCCCAGGTGATTGGGAGAAGGGCAGGAGAATGATGAATGACCAACGGTGAGTCGAAACAGCAAGAATAGCCTTTTAATTTTTTCTTCTAGAAAAACGTGTTTGCTCGCGTAATTCGAACACGTCCGGTCGAAGCCCGTCGTGGAAACCCCAGGGTCAGCTGAGCTCCAGCAGCTCGGAGGCCTCGCTCCACCAGGCGCGGCGGGACTCACCCGCACTGGCGCCGCGCCTTTCGCGGTTCTGCCATGAATGCGGCAGCAAGTTCCCCGTCGAAACTGCCAAGTTTTGCATCGAATGTGGCGTGAAAAGACTGGCCGTTTAAAAAAAAAAAGAAACGTGACACAAATATCCTAGTGTCAATATTTTGTGTTTCGTCACAGTACGGTAGCTTTCATCTGTGTGCTTAGTGCGAGTTTTTTAACGTTCTCGACAGCGTAAAAGTTAAGCCAATTTTGTATGCAATTGGAACAGCGCCTCTAGCGGCAAACGTACGCAAACGATCCCGTTCCATACAAATATGAGCTAACTTTTACGCTATCGAGAACGTTAAAAAACTCGCACTATGCACACTGATATGTTTATAAATGAAGTTAAATATTTTTAATGAAGCTAAAATTTTCCAACAACTTTCTAATGAGCAGCTGTGGTATAGAAAAACTAATGCCATCAACGTAGCGAGGTGCTCCATCCTATCAAACTCATTGCCAATTTGGACTTAGTGCATTTAAAATGAATGCATTTAATGTTAAAATGTTTTTAAACATTAATAACAGATTAACACTTTAAAGGCCCCAGACTTATTTGTTAAAATGCAATAACGAAAATTTTGTGTATTCTTAAATTACTTGAAATTAAGTAACGCCTAATATTACACTAGTTTAATAATTTTTATATTGTTACCAAAAATTTTAAATGTTTGTGCCTTCTCGAGTAGCTAATATTTATTGTGTATACTTGTTTTGCTTTATTTCCTATGATATCGATCTGGCTACATGATACTATAGTACGTGTGTAACTTAGGAATCTGTGATAAGTGAGAATTTCGAAAATAGTGAATTGTGTTTTATTTTGATGCGGTTGTGCCAATTTTTGAGTTTTTAATTGAATTTTATTTACAATTTACGTTTTATTTCGGCATTGTATTTGCAAAGTTGATTTATTTTATTTGCTTCACAATAATTTCAATATTTCGTCTACTTACCTACTGTGTAGTTGGCCATTTTAACAAGACTGATTATTTTTTCGAAGTTTTCAAATGAAATAATCCTTAATTACTGTTGTATATTTTTTTTTAAATAAAATAACAGTTTTATCATGTAATAAATTAACATTGTAATAAGATTCAACGATTTTTATTTACAAGATAAATGTTTTTGTTCTATTAATAATGCATTAATTGGTTTTTCAATACATATATTTCAATACATATACTACATAAATATATTCTACATTATATTGATAAATTTGATCATAGCTAGCAATAAAATGAATGAGATTATTCGACAGAGAACTAAAGTCATCGACATAGCTCAAAGAGTCAGCAAGCTGAAGTGGCAGTGGGCTGGCCATATATGCCGTAGGACTGACTATCGCTGGAGCAGACGGGTTCTCGAGTGGAGACCGCGCAGCGGAAGACGTAACGTGGGACGCCCCTTGGCTAGGTGGTGCGATGACCTCCGCACGGTGGCCGGCAAGAAGTGGATGAGGAGAGCCGCAGACCGTGCTCAGTGGTGTGGATTGGGAGAAGCCTATGTCCAGCAGTGGACGACTGTGGGCTGTTGATGATGATGATAATATGATAGCAATAAAAAATAGGAAATACTTTAGAAATAGAAAATGGAAAAAAAATAGATTTCCAGAGTGGCACAATTGTTAATTCATTAAATATTCATGGGATATTGGAACCGTTTTAGAAAACCCAAACAGGAGGTAGAACAGAGATTCCTAACATTAGAAAAATAACCTCTAAGAACTCTGTTTCTAACATTACAAGCATTAATTAGCACAGCGCATTTTCAGCTATCTTCAAGTTACGTTGCGGTTCATGCCATAGCAAACTGATAAAAGCGACAGTTTTTTTTATTAATGTTGTTTATTGCTGCGGTAGGGTCATCTACCAGAACGGTCTCTAGATGCCACGTGTAGCAGGATCTATTACCGAAAGGAATAAATATGGACAGAACTGGCCTTGGAGAAAATTAAAAAAAAGAACTGTTTTTGAAAGTGTCTGGGTCCCATTGTAGGTAATTAATGCAGAAACATGATAGAGTAAGACCCCAAGGGCCCCCAGACGTCACGTATTTTCTGACGAACGAAATGTGGTCGATTGCGTAGTGTTAGTATGTACCATATAGTATGTATCTCTCTCTTACAGTTGACTCATATCAAATAATTATTAATATTAAAAGAAAATCAGTTAAAAATTAAATAATCAGGTAAATAATGAATCAAATTATATTTTTTTACAAATTATTTACCTGATTATTTAATTTTTAATTGAGAGAGATAGAGAGACAGAGAAGTCAATATATCCTAATACATGTCTCACTCAGTCTCATGCGCGTGGATAATGCCCACGCGCTCTTACCCACAGAGGTACCTATTAAATTGAATTTACTTAGGGATGATTGGCTCTTTAAAGCGTCTGCAAAGCAATTCGGCCGACGGAAAGTGTCTGGGAGTATTGGCCACTTATTTGTTAGAACATTGCCTAAAATATACGTAAAAATCAGCTTTCAGAAAATACGTGAAGTAGGTCATGATTTTATGTACCTTGAGTACCTGATACCTGAAAATTGGCCGTCTAAGCAAGCTAGCAGGTAGGCATGCGTTCTTAGTACATACTAACACTACGCAATCGGCCACATTTCGTTCGTCAGAAAATACGTGACGTCTGGGCCCTGGGATCTTGGGACTATGACGGAGCCAGTGGAAATGAGTCTCATATAAAATTTATATTTTACTGTTTTACATCCACCACCTTGAGATATAAGTTCTAAAGTCTCAGTATAGTTGCTATACCTCACCCTTCAAACCGAAACGCATTACTGCTCCACGGCAGAAATAGGCAGGGTGGTGGTACCCGTGTGGACTCAGAGGATTATGGTGGTATAATTATCACAAGAGGTCCTCCTACCTCTAGTAATTACGCAAATTATAATTTTTGCGAGTTTGATTTTTATTAGGTACACGATGTTATTCCTTCACTGTGGAAGTCAATCGTGAACATTGGTTGAGTAGGTACGTATTTGGTACATTGGATAAAATTGGGAACCCGCCGGTGGGATTCGAACACCGGTGCATCGCTAGATACGAATGCACCGGACGCCTTATCTTTTAGGCCACGACGACTTCGAATATACATAAATAGTTTAGATTTTCGTTTTCAGCCAATGGCAGAACTTTGTTCATAATAATTGGCACAGTGTAAGTTCAAGTAAGTATATAAATATTATGTTAAGCATTGATATCCGATCTGAAACCACTTATTATTTAAGAATAGGAAATACAGAAAAAGCATTTTTTAAATATGTAACCATGTATTTATAAACAAGTTTTATTTTAATTCAATGTTAGCTCGAAAATATCACATAAATATTAATATTTACACTTTAAAATTATGTACTACTGATGAGTTGAAAACAAAATCTAGGTCTTGAAGAAACTCCTGTGAACTTTTCTTGAGGGAATAGCACCTCTCACCCTCAAACGCCTCAGAGCTTCGCGTAGATGTTTTGGCTGTAAGGGACCTGACTCACCAGATTTCTCCAAAACTTCCAAGGCTGAAAATTTAAATAATTTGTTAATCTTTTTTTTATTGTCTCTTGTAGAAATAGTTTATTTTTAAACAGCACGAACATACGGCCCACGTAATGGAATGTTACTGTGGCTCATGAACATTAACAATGCTAAATAGACACAGACCCGTCCCCACGGAGCCAGGCGTTCGACAAAGTCTGGCAAAACGGTTTAATTTACAAACTGTATAACATGGGCGTGCCAGAGAGTCTCGTGCTCATCATACGAGCACACACATTTACACTCTTCAGGTCATCCAATCCCATTTCTGCAGGAAATCCGTCGGAGCACCGTGGTATGTGAGGAATGTAGGTCTTAACGAAGCGTCAGAGCGCTACTGCGACAAAGCAGCGTGACACGAAAACCCTCTTGTCGTGGCCGCCGCTAATTACTTATCCGACCGCGACGGGGCCAGTCAAAGTCACCGTCGCCCGAAACATGTCGGATTACCCAAATTCACTCTCGATGCTTTTAGGTCTTTCAAGCACTGGTCACCGTCTTCGTCAAACTAGTCAATTACGACGAAGAGTTCGGCGAGCGAACTAACCCATAGACACAACCCACAGAGTTTCTCGCCGGGGGTTCTCAGTGGGTCGCGATTCCGATCTAGTGGTAGATTCTGCGAAGCACTGCTCTTGGTAGGGGTAGCGTTAGCAAATACTCTCAGGTGGAGCCCGGGAGCTCACCTACCCGGCCGGGCGTAGCTGGAATAGCCTCTTAGGCTACCAGCGAATAGGTAGGGAACAAAAATGCCAGAGGCACAGCGCAAGCATTGCCTATTTATTTGGGGTATATTTGTAATAAATTTAAATTAAGTGCCTCAAGTTAAAATTTGGAATATTTATATTTGATTGTTACCTTCTTCAACAACTTCACCAATAAAGACCTTGGCAATACCAGACATAGCAATAACAACATTCTGTCCAACAGAACAACCGGTGATTGTTTGCATAAGTCTCTTTACAGCAGCTTTTGGAAAGGCTGCTCTTCTATACATCTCATATCTATTCAATTGTTCTTCAGTGAAATTTGACACCAAAACCCTGTAATAAAGTAATGATTTTGATGCTGCACTCTGCAGTACTTTGTGTTTTCTTTGATAACAATAAAATTAAATACATAATAATATACTATACACACAATGATAACTTTGGTCAACCATGAATGTGTTGACTTTATTCTTTGTATTATGTTAACAGTCAATCAGTATGATTTTACAGAATCTACTATTTTTTTTCAAGAGGGTGCAAGGTGAAGCCATCTTAAATTTTATTACTGTTTCAATTTAAGGGCTGACAGCTGTCCTACCCATCAATCTGAAATATGAAACTGCTTCAGAGATAAGCAGAGTAGTAATAACTTTAGCCCAAATTCACCCTAAAATTAACTATTTTGGAAATATATACAATTAATTGTCATTTGTGATCATATGTTACGCAGATATTTACTAGAAACATTAGTTTTTGCCAGAAGAATTGCTAAATGCGAGGTAGGTTGCATTACTCAGTATAAGAAAACACATTAGGACCCCACTTGGAGCAAAGTTACTAATAGGAAATGATATATACATACTGCATTTTCTCCCTTTCTTCTTCTTCCAGCTCTTTCTTACTCTTTTTTTCTCTCTCCCTTTCGTTAATAAGATCCTCAGCAGTTTGAAACTCATAAATATGGGAACTTTCAGTGTGATGAAAGTCAGTGGTTGCTGGTACTACTGAAGTTTCTGCATCACCAACTCCTCTGTCATATTTTTCACCATCGGACTGAAACTGGTTGTAAGAATTTTCAAACTGATAGTCATTTCCATATGACTCATAATGGTCAGTTACATCAGTGAGAACATCTGTTTGGTTCAAGTATTCAGAATTGTCTGTATAAATATTTCCAAGTTCATCAGCTTTGTGAACAGTTTCAACATTTTGAGAAATTTCTGCATATGTATCTATCACCTCAGTTTCAATATTTGTATTCTGATCGCTTTCACCATAGTTAACCAAAGTTGTATCTGCGAACAAACATTATTATCTTATACATCATCAAATTATACATTGTATTTTTTTTTGTAATCTAGTTACTTTACTAGTTAAAAATAATATTTTTACATTTTCCTTAACACATGTTACGCAGGAACCTTGCAAAATTGTTTGTCGTTGTAACTGTAGGGTGCGGAAAATGTGTAAACATAGGCATGAAATGGATGAAGTACTATGAATTATCTATTGCCGGCAGAACGCCAAGAGACTATCTACCGATGCAATAAGTTAGAGACTGCCTGCCCCTAAAAATGCCTGTTTCACAACACAATTACGTGGAAAAGTGAGGCCTATAAAATCAAAGGCAGCTAAATCCAAGTCTGCTAAATATTCAGGTAAACTACAAAAATCGGCCCTAAACACGTCATTACGGATCCTCCTGATCTATTGAAGTACTGCTCTTGCTAGGGCCAGTGTTAGCAACACTCCCGGTTTGAGAAGCTGAAATAACTTTGTTCAGGTAGCTACGATATTCTTTAATTTAAAGCAGATATTTAAAAGATAATTATAAAGGATGAAAATATTACTAATAATCTGAATTTTAGATGATAAAACTTCGTTTATATTTGAGTACAGAGTAAAATTAAAATTTTTGAACTAAATTTGCTAGAGATTTAGCTGCATATAACATGAAAATATTAAAGTGTGTCCAACTAACTAAACAAGATGGGGCCATAGTTAATCCATTTTACTACATTAAGTTTAGCTGCCTTTGATTTTATACGCCTCAAGTGTCCTAATAAAAACTACTAAACCAATAACTATTTAGCCAATAAAAAAATCAACATCCTGTAATTGGCTAATACATCTTCTCATGATTCCAAATCATTTTATTATAAATGCATTTATTAAGTTTATTATTTAAAATATAAACTTATAACTTGATACATTTAAAAAATAATATTGTAATTTTTAAAGATTAACATTTGTTTGTTTTTTTTCCTGGAACAAATGCTATTGGTGCACTTGATAGTTCCTATGTAGTGTTGTACATTGTATGTGTTAAAGTAGCCATTACACAGACAGAAATTGCTGAACTAATAGGCAGACTATGAAATACTATAAAAACCAATAATTCTAGACTTCTTTGAACTTATTAATAAATACTACTAACTAATAGCTACTACTACTAAATGTGTTTCAAAATGTATTTTGTATGTAAAGACAACACAAAATTACAGTTAGATCTGAGTGACTATGAAATAAACAATTAACTCACACTCCGGTTCTTCCTTAAGTAGTTTCTCTTCAATTTCCATAGAAATGTCATGAGAATCATCCTCAATGGAGTCGCTATGTTCCAATTCTCGTGCTAATTCTTCTTCTGTTAAATAAAAATTGTTAATTATAGGTTCGATAAGTATAATAGTTTACTATTGTTAATTAAATAAAAATAAGGAAGAAGAGTTGTTAGGTAGGAACGTAAGGCTGATACAACGTAATGTTGAGCATAATAATATATTAGTAGATTTTCACTAAGCCTTTTTTTTAAAACCAACCTTTCAATCGTTCAGCTTCAAAAAGAGCGTCGTGATTAGACATATTACCTGATTTTCTAATATATCCATACAGAAACTAAAAAATAATAAAACTTAGAATATATTTTCGACAAAAAGAAAAGATCACTTAATTTTGCCTTATCATGTAAATTTAACGTATATTTTATGTGTAATATGTATGTCTAGCGTAGGATGTTTTGTTTCTTAGGCATCATGCTTAAAAAAATGTTTTTAGTTTTAATTTGTTCCTAAAAAATTAAAACTTTTTTCATGAAATCCACGATTTTGTCAACTTCACAAACTTCACATGTAATTATTTTTAAAAGGGTTTTCTGACCTGGTAACTGAGACCTTTAGGTCAAGTCTTACTTTAATTTATATTATATAAGTTCTTATTTTTATGAAAAATGATAATATAAAGTGAAATGAAATGAGATCAAATGAGATGAAATGAAAGAAATGAGGTGAGATGAGATGATATGGTATGAAATATTATCTCAGAAAAATAGTGGTCATTTACTGAGATTTTTTCAGTGGACTTTGATTGACTTCCACGGTGCAGGAATAACATCGTGTAGTAAAAATCAAACCCGCAAAATTATAATTTGCCTAATTACCGGCGGTAGGAGCTCTTGTGAGTCCGCACGGGTAGGTACCACCATCCTGCCTATTTCTGCCGTGAAGCAGTAATGCGTTTCGGTTTGAAGAGTGGGGCAGCCGTTAAAAAAAAAACTTTTTGGAGGATCCCGAGAAGTTACGTTCAGTAGCTTTGTTTGATTTTCCCACATTTGTGCACTTCATGGATACTAAGCAATTTAAACCACCGTTATTACACATTTAAACCTGAAGAAACACTAAATAGACAAAATAAAACAAATCACTTAACTCGCGTTCCCGCCAAAAAGACCGTATAGAAACAATACGCCTGTAACAGATAACATAATTTTTAAGAAATGTAGATTTGAGCGTAGATATGGAATGAAATCGATGAAATAGAACGAAAAATGCTGGAATGAGGTGAAACAAACTATCCCTTCAGTAAAATATTGAAAATTTATGGACCGAGAGTTCAAAGAATCGAAGAAGCCAGGAAATAAAATAATTTCACATTTCACATTCCCGCCACATTTTTTTCGTATTGGATGCCTCAATTTTTTCTTAAATTTGTAGAGATTTTAAATAATCTGATACATAAGGTCTGAATTTAAATTGTGTGGTATATTCATAAAAACTAGAACGCATTATTGCTTCTCTACTAGCTATGCAAGGTGACTATGTGTTATAAGCGAAGCATGGATGTGGTTTTACTGTTAAATTTTGCGCAATTTAATATTTTTGATTAAAATATTGTTTAATATAATTTTAGTAATCATTGTAAAGAGTAATTGTAAATCGATTTACTTGATATTTTATTGCTTTAATTTAAAAATCTGGAGTTTATAAAATAAAAACGCTTTTACTCTCTTTTTCAACTGGTTAATAGCAGCGCTGATTTTACGCGTGAAACGTCAAGTCGCTTGAGAAAATTAAATAGCTAATTTAATAAACAAAATACATGCTATTGATTTACTAAGGATATTTTATATATAAATTTAACATTAGAACGAAAAAGTTATTAGCGACGCCTACTTTGAACATACTCTCTGGCTAGGTAAATCTAACTTCGCAAAGAGATCAAGCGTCGAATCGTTCGGGAGGCCGCCCAAACTAAAAAATACTCTATTTAAATGGCTTAAATGCTGTTTAATTCTCAATAATAAGTAGTTGGAGAGACTGCAACACAGCCCTGGTTTCAATCAAAGGCTTTCTCATAGACCACAAATGCCAAGCAAAGTGGTAGGTTGTATTCTTCGGTCTTTTGTACAGCCTGCCGCAGCGTACAATTGTGGTCTATGGTACTATAGCCTTTCCGAAAGCCGGCTTGTTCAGCTGGAAGTCATTAAACCTGCGCGGGAGACGATAATTCGTAATAACTCTCGAGAACAACTTAAACACATGACTCAAAAGTGAGATAGGTCTATAATTCTTTAAACGAGTATTGTCACCCTTTTTGAAGAACAGAACTATCACACTTCTGCAAAATTGATTATCAGTATCGAAGTGTTGAAGTGATTGTTTGAAAACGCTACTCTATTTTAGTCCGATTACAGGACCGGGCTTCGGAACCCATCCTTCTGCAGCGGCGCGTGAGGCAGGGAGATGTTATTTCTCCAAAACTATTTGCCGCTGCATGGTAGGATGTTCTCAGCTGTGAAATGGAAAGGACTAAACATCAAAATCAACGGCAAGTACATAACTCACCTTCGGTTTGCCGAAGATATTGTGATTGTAGCTGAAACCTTGGAGGATCTCAGTACAATGCTCAAAGACCTCAGTAGAGCTTCTATCCGAGTGGGCCTATGGACTATGGTCTGGGCTTGTGGTCTGTGAATCTGTGAACATGGAAAAATCAAAAATTATGTTCATTTGCTCATGAAGCGCCCACTGCAGTAAAGATTGGAAGCTCTACGCTCGAAGTTGTTGACGAGTTGGAACAAACTGTCCAGTTATGTAGGTCCAACTTCGAAAAAGAAGTCAATAATCGAATCCAACTCAGATGAGCAGCGTTCAGAAAGCTACATAAAATCTTCACATCACAAATATCACAATTTCTCAACACGAAAATATTGGACCAGTGTATATTTCCAGTGATGGCATATGGCACTGAGACGTGGTCGCTTATAATGGACGTCATCAGAAAACTCAACGTCACCCAAAGTGCAGTGGAGAGGGCCGTGCTCGAGGTTTTCGTATGTGATCAAATCAGAAGTGAGGAGATTCGCATGAAATCCATGGTAACTGCCCAAAGGATTACGACGTTGAAGTAGCAGTGGGCAGGGCACATTCATTGGCCGAAAAGTTGTTCAGTGGCGACTGCGAACCGGAAGACAGCGTGGCTAAGCCTCCCACAGGATGGACTGACGACCTATTAAGGTTCGCGGGGATCCGCTGGATGCAAGTAGCGCAGCGCAGGGCCGATCTTTGTGGTGAGGCTTGGAGGAGGCCTATGTCCAGCAGTGAGACGTCTGCAGGCTGATATAATAGAAAAAAAGTACCTAGTAATAATGTAATAAACAAACTATGATATTCTCATGAATAAAAAAAAAATTGAGATGGGAGAACCTAACATCAGTTCGGTGGTAGCGTTCGTTTCGGTCTAAATAGGCCACGTTTCTTTTGTCGTTGGTGATAGATCTTAAGAACAATAAAAGGGAAAAGCTTCTGTCATAGAGTAAAGCGAAGTAGTTTTCAAAAGGCCTCCCCCCACCCCTGGTGGGTGAATGAAGTTAGCCCCTCAAAAAAATTTTTTTTTCCTGTTTTCTACTTATTTTCTATTAATTCGTTTGTTCATCATTTGTTCTTGATTGTTCATTGTTAATAATTGTTTGTTCCCCATTTATTTGTTTTAAAAAAAATATTAAAAATATATCTAAAAGTTAGCCCCTCGATTGCAATTTTTAATATTTTTTCGTCCTTAATTACTCGTAAATATTCATTTTCGATTGTTCTTATATAAAATACGTTTGTTCTCTTTCGAAATTACTCATTTTTTGTTTAATTAATTGTATTAGTTGAATAAATGTATACAAAATATGTGTACTGCGCATGCCANCGAAAAAATATTAAAAATTGCAATCGAGGGGCTAACTTTTAGATATATTTTTAATATTTTTTTTAAAATAAATAAATGGGGAACAAACAATTATTAACAATGAACAATCAAGAACAAATGATGAACAAACGAATTAATAGAAAATAAGTAGAAAACAGGAAAAAAAAATTTTTTTGAGGGGCTAACTTCATTCACCTACCCCTGGTCTAGTTGTCTAGCACAGAATACAGATCAGTGAACTTATGTGTCAAGTGTGTCTATGATTTTGACAAAACGAATTGGAGGGTTAGGTGGATGTAAAATTCTATTTTCTAAATTAAAAATACTGTACTCTGGGTGCGGACAGAGAGTTCCATCATGAGTGCATTAATGAAAGCGGCAGTTTCCCGCAGTCCTGCGTCACTGGTGCGTAAAAATAACAACAACTTTCTACAAATACAGAAGTTATGTAACAACGAATGAAAAAAATGTTTATAAAATAAATCAACGCTATCGTTCTTGAATAATAGAAAGTCTTTCAGTGGCTTACGTTATATCACTTACCTTATTGCAGTTTTGGACGGAAAATTTTCCAGCTATCATGCTCTTAGAAACACTTAAAATTTTAAATACTTAGTATTACATTTAAATTATTGCCGACTATTATGAGCGGTTTAAATTGTAATATAATTATATTAAAATAATTACAGCGAGTTACCATTAATTAAAATAAAAAAAACTTCAGCCTATAAACTTTGTTTATAAACATGTAAGAGTTTTATAATTTGTATGCTTTGTTTTAGGCATCATACTTATATAGAAATATTCACGTGGCTGCTTCTGGTGCTACTTCTAAAGATGCTTCAGTTACAACAAATATGACTAAAGCATACACAGTAATTGACCACAAACATGATGCATTAGTTATTGGGGCTGGTGGAGCAGGACTTCGAGCAGCCTTTGGTCTTGTCCAAGAAGGATTTAAAACTGCTGTCGTAACTAAGTTGTTCCCTACAAGATCACATACTGTTGCTGCACAGGGTGGAATTAATGCTGCTTTGGGTATGTTATAAGCAAAATTATTTGTTTCTTATCAATATCTTATTTAATACCAAAAAAAAAAGGTAAAATATGACTGACCATGGCTTGTACTAAGACACCACAGTGGTTATTGTTGACTAGAGTACTTGAATTCATTATTGTCTATAATTATTACTATTTAATGAAGATTGACAGTAACTGCATTTTGTATATGTATATCCACAGAATTACAAAATACTTTGAAATAAAAAATTACTAAATGCACAAAAAAATTACCTTCACTTTGTTATGATTTTGCAATTACATGCAATGCATGCAATCAATAATAAAAATGCTCTGTTGCCATTCAGAGTAAAATGAGATTTCGGTATAGCAGTCAATGAGTCAAACATACTTACAAAATTAACCACATCTTATCTTAAACAATTATGTACCTAATTTGTTTTTAATTGGTGTAAATTTATTTGTTGAATTTGATATTTATTTGATTATTTCTTAGAATGAAATATTTTTGTTCAGGAAACATGGAGGAAGACAGTTGGCTCTGGCATATGTATGACACAGTTAAAGGTTCCGACTGGCTTGGAGATCAGGTAATATCCGTAACTTATTATCTTTGTTGATTTGTGCTGTTTTAAAATAGGCCTGATTATTATAATGTATTAATAACAAAGGACATTTAGTCCCACTCAGAACGTAAATAGATTATAATTTCTTAGTTAACAAATAAAAAAGATTAGTAGTGTAGCAGATGTCTTCAAATGCATTGCATTAAAATATCCAGAACAAACTATCTGAATCGATGATTATGTGCAAACTATTTGAACACAAAAAGGCTTCTGTGATATAGACAATATTATTACGCCATACATTCATTTAATTTTGTGAATTTTGTTCATAATAATCATTGATACAAACCACTATGTTTTAAGCAAATATATTACAAGGGCTATAAATGAACAAACAAAGAAATTATGGGAATATAAAGGCCAGATAATCAGAGCTAATTATTTAATAATGGCATATTACAATAATCATCTGAACAATGCTACCTTATAATTTTTTTGTAGCTTAGATAGCACTTAAACCGCGGTTACTATAGTCCACAAACATTACTACTTGAATACCAAAAACTCACCTTGAGACATGAAGTCAAAGTTTCAATTTAATTTCCGCAGTGGTCCTTTCAAACCGGAACGCTTGCTTACCTGGCGGCCGTAAAAGGCAGGGTGGTTATACCTGTACGGGTTCAGAATGCATACTACAAGAAATAATTAATGATAATATTCTGAGAAATAGCATATAAATCTTTTTTTATTTTATTTTGAAATACTTACCAATACTCTGTAAGTTCTCTCAAACATGTGATAACCATTATTTTATAAATCATTAGTAACTTAAATGTTCATTTTCTGTTGAATAAACCTCTATATACTAAAACACATAGGAGATATCTATATGTATTAATAAAAGTACCATATATATATATTTTGTAATGTCTAACAATCAGGATTGTAGAAGATAGTCTTAAAAATCGTCAAATGAAAGAATTGCACTTTAAGAATAGTTAGATATGCTCATAAACATATTCTTATTTGGACTTCAGTCAATATCACTGAGACATTAACACATTCATGCATATTAGCATTATTATTCACATATTAACACGGTAGTATGTAGAAACCTAATTATTATGTTTGTCTAACGTAAATGGACAAGTGCGATAGTTTTGTTTGTCTTTAAAGTGTAAGTGATATGCAATGGTCAAAAACAAGCCGTTTTTGTAACTAAAAGTGATGATCATAAAAGATTTAAATTATTTGTAGACTTTAATTATCTTAATAAAATCAAAATTATCATTTATTTCAGCATAGCATACATAACAGACCCTCTAAAATAAATAATTACACCTGGCCACGTGACTAATTAAATTTTCGTGAATACAACAATCGCAAGGCCTTGGAAAAACATTATGTTAATAAGCACAAGTAATTGGTGCGATCTAATATAATACGAAAATTGTATTTTTTAAAACATTTCATATGTTCATTATTGATTACTATGGTATGACAAAACTTTTTTGAGCTTCTATAGCAATATTTAGGTTGTCATATTAATTTTTAGAGATGCTTCTTTATACCTTTTAACGTTTTATTTGTTATTTATTTTAATTTTATGTTTATACCCGCAAACACGCAAAATTATAATTTGCGTAATTACTGGTGGTAGAACGTCTTGTGAGTCCGCACATGTAATTACCACCACCCTACCTAACTCTGTGCCGTGAAGCAGTAATGCATATCGGTTTAAATGGTGGCGCAGCCGTTGTACCTACTGTAAAAACAGATCTCAGAAATCGTGTCACCAAGTGGGTGGCTACATTTACGTTGTACATGTGTATGGGCTCCGGTAACCACTTTACACCAGGTAGGCCGTGAGAGCGACCACAAATCTTAGCAGTAGAAAAAAAATTTAAATCTGTCGATCAGGTACTTTTAATACCTAAATTGATTAAGAGCAAAAAAAAAGGTTAAATTAAATTAAATAGACAAATCTTTGAATTTTATTAAAATTTTATTCGGTAACCACGCTGACACACCTCTAGCCGCTAGTGACCAAACCGGCTTATCCTCGGAAATAATCTTGTTTACTGAGTCAGTGTAGGAGGTTTCTTTATCTTATTACGCCTTATCTAACGGAAAATATACAAGATTATCTTTATCTCGTGCACGTTTAGTCTTACGAATTGTTTTAAACTTTCGCATTTATCTACGTTATATACAGGGTTTTTGCCAAGGTTTTAACTTCCCACCCGTGATCATAGCCCTTCCTACAGTACCGATATGAAAATCGTGGTAACAACCTGTCAAGTATAGTAGTATTTATATAAGAATTACAATTAGTTTAGTGTAAGTCGTAATAATGAAATGAAAATAAGAAAAAGCACGCTTAAATCGTAAAAGCAGTTTTAATTGAGCCAACGACTCGCGAAAACCGATGAAAACGCTAGTGCTTAGAATTTTTGGTTTTGCTCGGTATCCTCATACCATATCGTAAAACGATTGACACAATCTACCTTCATTAAATAAGACTACGCTAACTCTGAAGGAAGATAAATGTGTCCCCAACTTAACTGCTATTTAAGTCGTCTTGGCCTGTGGGATAATACGCCCGGTGCATTGGTATCGAGCGATACGACTGAGCCGGTGTTCGAATCCTGTAGGCAGGTACAAATTTTTTTAATGAAATATGTACGTACTTGACAAATATTCACGAAGGACTTCCACGGTGAAGGAACAACATGGTGTAATAAAAATCAAATCCACGAAAAATGCATAATTACTGGTTGCATGGTGTGTTGTAAGCCCACACGGATAGGTACCACCGCCCTGCCTATTTCTGCCGTGAATCAGTAATGCGTTTCGGTTTGAATGGTGCGACAGCCGTTGTACCGTAAAAAAAATAGGTTTAGAACTCATGTCTCAAAGTGAGTGGCGGCATTTCCGATGTTAATATCTATTGACTGCGGTAACCACTTAACAACGGGTGGGCCGCAAATTCGTTCACCCATCTAAGCAAAAAAAACTACAATAGCCGATCTACTGAAAATTTTACACACACCCCATTTTTAAACGCGTAGTATACGGCTAACATAAACTTTTGAAGTTCAAGAAACTATTGTAATGTTGTCTGTCGTAGGATGCCATTCACTACATGACCAAAGAAGCGCCTCATGCAGTAATCGAACTGGACAACTACGGAATGCCATTCTCCCGCACCCCGGAGGGAAAGATTTACCAGAGGGCCTTCGGAGGACAGTCCCTCAAGTTCGGAAAGGGAGGACAAGCTCATAGATGCTGCGCCGTAGCTGACAGGTACCAAAACAAATTACACTACACACGAATATACATTTTATTTGTATTTAATCAGCATTGTATATATCAGCAATATATGTTATATTAAAATCCTTAAAACCGATAGACGATTAAGATATTTTCTTGTTTTTATTTAAAAAATAAACAAATAGGTTTTTTTAGCTGAAAGAACAAAACAACAATGAGCATCTTATTAGCATAAATAGTTTATGCAAATTGAACTGTGAGAAAAGAGCTGATAAAGTTGTATATTGTTTTTCATGAATTATGCTAATGTAAAATTTACTTGAACGTTTACATGTGGTAAGACGTATTGTTAACCCACACTACCGGGTAACACGTTATTTCGGATCCTCCAGATCTACTATCGTTGCTTTTGGGTACCTCAAGAACCGGTCATCGTTCTCGTCGAACCCGTCGCTTGCGACGAAGGGCTCGGTGAGCAAATTAGCTCTCAGACACAGCCCTATTGAGTTTCTCGCCAGATCTTCTCAGTGGGTCGCGTTTCCGATTCGGTGGTAGATTCTGCGAAGCACTGCTCTTGCTGGGCTTAAAGTAACATTGTCAGGTTAGAGCCCCGTGAGCTCACGTATTCGCCCGGTTAAGCTGACATAAACCACCGAGTTTACCAGCATAGCTGCATAGGTAGGAAAAAAATACGTGTAACTACAAACATTCTGCCTATATATGTCAGGAAGCAGTCATACATTCCGGTTCAAATGGTGAGGGCAGCCATCTATTATCGCGGTCTTCTCAATATTATGTCTATGTTATGTACATATCGATATGTGCAATGTGTTGTTGTGTGAAAATTGTATCTTAGAATGAAGATACTGTTCTGTGCTTATCCACAAATTCTTCAAATGTTAATAAGGTTTTAAAATTTAAATCGCTTTACATAATCGTTGTGACATTGAAGTAGGTATGTGAATAGGTTTAGGCTGTTTCGGGAGGTACCTGTGGAAGGTCTGCAGGAGAGAGCCACATCCGGGCTGCCACCAGTGCGGGCACCCGGACGATGACGCGCAGCACGCGCTCGAAACGTGCCCGCGTTGGGAGCACTCGCGGCGAGATCTCGTCGCGGTGCTGGGGAGAAACCTCTCCCTGCGGGCTGTCGTCGCCCGCATGTTAGAGGATCAGGGCTCGTGGGAGGCCATGGCCAGGTTTTGTGACCTGGTAATGGCGTCCCGTGAGGCTGAGGAGCGTGAAAGGGAGTGGGATCCCTCTTCAGCACCTCAGCGCAGAAGGCGGGATGGCCGGCGCGGGCGTGAAGCTCCCGCTCAGCCCCCGTAGGGACTGTCAGGTGGCGGGTGCGGGGGCGCCCGGTACTCGACTGTCGGTCCGGTGGTGGGGCGGTGCAAGGTGGCTCCTGTGCGCCGCCCACGGTGTATCTCCCGAAATGACGTCCTTCGGGATTTTCCCGGAGATGAAATCCCGTCTTATCATCAGGACGGGTACCGGCGAAGGCGGACTTTCGGCGCGCACTGCGGTACCGTATGTCTGGTGTAGCCGGTGTGGTGGAGCTCGATGGGGTTTAGTCGGTAGTCGTTCTGCGGGGCAAGTGCTTCGCGCGCCTTTTTCAAGGCGTAGTCTCTTGCGAGGAATTCGGGGAGGTGGAGGACCTTCTCGTCCCCCTCTTCCTCTCAGGAGGCGCCGGAGTCCGACATAACCCGGTTCGTTACCCCCCGGACCGGGTATCCGTAAATGGATTCCCCAGCGTTAAAAAAAAAAAAAAAAAATTGGGTATTCAAATATATCTTATTATGAAATACAGTAAGTAAAAGCTCTTTATTCGCTGTGTATATTATGTTCCGTAAATTTGCCGTGAATAGAGAAACCATGAATATGGAAAAGCGCGTTTACAAAAGATATTCGGTTGGATACTTACATATTTCCTCCATATATCCTTTTTATCAACGTGTATATAGCTCTGTACCCATTAGATGCGCGAACATGGAAAGCGCTTTAGCCGCGAATATAGGAATTGTATCGCATTTTTTTTAATCCTCGAATGAAGGAAGCGCGAAAAAGGAGCTTTTACTGTATCCCTATTAACAACTAATGGCGTCAGTATTAGTATAGGAGGTGGTTTTTGTTTTTAAAATTATTTCCTCGCTCGCTCAATGCCCATCCCGGACATCGCGCCTCGTACTATTCGCATGGAATAGCTGTGTCGGTCTGAACAGCGATATCCCATACTTCGCGAATATCTATCTTGACGTGAAGAAAACAGATTAGATATGTAGTTGATTTTTAAGCGCATTGTTACGTAAATAATTGCTTTCGTTTTGCGCTACCGCATGTACAAAGTTCATAGCGGCAAGTTACATTCGCTTTAATGTATTTTATTTATTTATTTATTTATTTCTTTATTTATTTTTTATTTATTTATTTTTTATTTATTTATTTATTTAATTATTTATTTATTTATTTATTTATTTATTTATTTATTTATTTATTTATCTATTTATTTAATGTACAGTGACCCTCGAAAAAAAAAACGCTTTCCTTTCACAAATTCAGTACTAATAAAACATAATTAGAATTAAACTCATATCAAAGAACATACATTTGAAAATAAATATAATAACTAGTTAAAAAAATCTTGCACATTAAGGTAATATTAAAGAAAATGTTTTCTAAACAATTTCCTACGTTTACGTTTAGAAAAGTATATAATGATGATAAGTTAGCTTTTTATGTGAATGAAAATGTATGTATATGTGCACGTGTGGGTTTGTATGTATGTATGTATGGATATGTATGTACGTTTTTATGAATACGTTGAAATTCGAGTTTGCGAATAAGCGAACAGGATAATATGTACCTGGCAACAGCAGGTAAAATAAACTTAGGTATAAACCGAGCGCATCATTAACATATAGGGGCATGTTTTAGATGGCTGCGATGAACAAAAATAGTTATTATTATTTTATATTAAATATTATTATATATAATTTGGAAATATATATATTTATGTATTTCCAAATTATATTTTTATATATCGGCTAAAATATGGTCTGAAATAAATTATTATTATAACCATGCATAACTAACAAATACAAAATTAGCGTTAAAGATTTAAGAGAGCGTACACACTGCGCAACTATTATAATAAATAAATATTATAAAACATATTTATTTATATAATATAACATTATCAGCTATTTACCAAATCCATAAATGTCTATGTGGTGTGAAAATGTGAACGGAATCCTATTTTAAAGTCAGTTTATTAAAACTACTTCACACGTGCTACTCTGACTCTGCGTACGAAAAACAATTTAACAATAATTTAACAATAATTAAAATAACAATAGATAATAAATAAATCATGATGTTCTTCAATTAGTCCAAGTTAGTTCAAGTCCTGGAACTAGCTCAGGGGGGGGGGGGGTCATGACCCCCCCCCTGGATCCGCCGTTAGGTAAGCGTTATTGACATTTATTTGTGTGACGTTACGTTACAATTTAACAATAATTTGTTAAATTGTTTTTCGTACGCAGAGTCAGAGTAGCACGTGTGAAGTAAAAATATACGTACTTTGCACACTACAATAGCGCTTATCGTTGAGTGGTAACAAACTATATAGGCTATGTTTTTCCTATTAACTTGTCTCCGTGGATAGAGTATAGCGAAGGAAATCCAGGCTGCCATCTTGTGATCAATAACGTAACGTCACACAAATAAATGTCAATAACGCTTACCTAACGGCGGATCCAGGGGGGGGGTCATGACCCCCCCCCCCCTGAGCTAGTTCCAGGACTTGAACTAACTTGGACTAATTGAAGAACATCATGATTTATTTATTATCTATTGTTATCAAAATTAAATTATAAGTTCTTAACTTGCCCACGACTATGTGACCCCCTCCTGGCGCCAAAGCTGGATCCGCCCTTGCGCTTACCTGGAAGTATTATTCACGTCTTTGTTAATAAAATCTATTTAAATAAAAATGAATTGCTGTTCGTTAGTCTAATTTTAGTCTTGAATTATTTGTGGAAGTCCAAAAAAGGTTTAAAAGGTAAAGGAAGCTAATTAAGAAAATGCTCGGAATTCAATAAAAATAACAAATTTGTTTTCCCATTGATGTGTCCCCCGTCGGACGGATTCCTTTTGTTTGTTTTAAGTATTTTATACAAAAGTTTAGGTCTTTTAGCTATCGATTGAGGCACTACGAAGTCTGCCGGGTCAGCTAGTATTTAATAAAAAATGTGTAAAGTGAGAAGATATTCAAACGGTAAATGTTATACAGAACCGGGCACTCCCTCCTTCACACGCTGTACGGCCAATCACTCCGCTACGACTGCGAATACTTCATCGAGTATTTCGCTCTCGATTTGCTAATGGAAGACGGAGTCTGCAAGGGATGCATCGCCATCAATCTCGAAGACGGAACTCTGCACAGGTATGCTTACAATATTAACTTTACTTGTAACTATACTGAGACCTTAGAACTTATATCTTAAGGTGGGTGGCGCATTTACGTCGCAGATGTCTATGGGCTCCAGTAACCACTTAATACCAGGTGGGTGTGAGCTCGTCCACCCATCTAAGCTATAAAAAAAATTAAATTTATTTCACTATGTATTTTGAGAAATGGCAAACAAAACTAAAGGTGTTTTTTTTTTTTAATGTGTCAGTCAAGCATAGGTATTAGAGACAAAGTCATGGTAAATACATCAGTAATTTACATGGTTAATTTCTTGTAACTGCTGCTGTTTAGTTACTACGGTTTTGGTGATAATTCGGCTAACGAAGATTCTACTAAAAAAATGGAATACGTGAATTTAGTAATATATTCGATAAATAGAATCGATAAATTAGACCATGACATATTATGACAACGTCCAATACGATTGTAACGCCACTTCCCAGGTCCAAGGTCCCAGTTCATTATACATAGGTGTAAATCGGGGGGTTGATTGCTTCCCGCTTCCGTAGGTTTAACCCGCGATTCCCTACAAGTGACCCCTGGGTGGTGCAAAACGGGAGCCGAATACATAATCGGTGGTAGGACTTGTCCGACTGGCTGGCGACCACCCTCCAACTAGAGTCCGCCGCCAAATAGCCTAGCTGTGTTCCGGCGTGTGGGTTGGAGAGCCAGTTTTATTCCTTCCCTNGTGCGTTTCCAGAGGTCTTTTTTGCCACGTACCATCCGGCTATGGAATGAGCTCCCCTCCACGGTGTTTCCCGAGCGCTATGACATGTCCTTCTTCAAACGAGGCTTGTGGAGAGTATTAAACGGTAGGCAGCGGCTTGGCTCTGCCCCTGGCATTGCTGAAGTCCATGGGCGACGGTAACCACTCACCATCCGGTGGGCCGTATGCTCGTCTGCCTACAAGGGCAATAAAAAAAAAAAAAAAAAAAAAAAAAAAAAAAAAAAAAAAAAAAAAAAAAAAAAAAAAAAAAAAAAAAAAAAAAAAAAAAAAAAAAAAAAAAAAAAAAAAAAAAAAAAACATTCAAGGACTTAGCAAATAAAAAAAACGTCAAAATCGACACAGTCATTTAGTTCAATGACAAACACGCGTCCAGAAGAATTTATATAAACACTAGCCGTACTCGCCTGCTTCTTTGGGCATTTAAAATTAATATTATTATTTATTGTCATTTTTACAGGGAGTCCAACACTCATATAAATATTAGCCTATCCATTAAGTACGTGTATTTTCTACATGGATACTAAATTTCAAGTCAATCGGATGCGTGGTTCAGTAGTTATAACGGAACATTCGTAAAAACCACTGTTAGTATAGATTTGGTAATTTCGAATCGTCGTTCAAGTATCGATAGTATATAATCTGACAGATTCGGTATCCGAAGACAGGTGATACTTGAAAAATCGTTCAGTATCGAAACATCAAAATAAACACATTACGTTTAAGATCACTTAGCACCAATTTAACGTCTCAACTTGATAAGATAAAAATTTGAAAATTGTACCGGTTAACGACCTATTTAACTATAAATAATACATCTTTTTTTTTTTTATATAAAATTAGTCAATGATAACAGTTAACATTAAGAGATACCCGAGAGTAGGTAGTTACTGTTGTTTTTGACCTCTGTCACTATGCAAACATAGACGTCTAAATTATTACACAATCTATATTAAAAAGTTGAAATGATTATAATCGGTCAACGCGACACGCGACCCGGCTCCGACCGTCTTGTTTTATGAATCTAATTTTAATGTTACATCCTTGATGAACATTCCTTTGTTACATCTGAGGCAGAATAGAGAAATTCAATGAAATGTGTGAATAAATACAGTATATCTTTGATTTTCGAGAAGCCAATAAATAATTAAAATATATTATACGGTTTAATCTGACGAGTCTTTCATGACGATATAAACGTGTTAAGAATTTGAGAGGTCGCAAATAATAAAATAATAGTTAAAAAAAACTAACAAAATACGCTTTTATAGAAAATCTAACTAAAAAATAGAAAATAAAATTTTAATAAATTTTCATCAAAATATTGTAAGAAAAAATTATGTTATTGTAAAAAAAAGCGTGGTGTTTTTAAACCATTATTTATTTATCATTTTTTAGTTGAAAATCAATCTTTTCAATACTTTTTCAATTTTTTTTTAAATCAATTGTCATCGGTCCTTAATAAGTATATCAAATTTCGAGTTAATCCGACGTTTTGAGGGGGGTCAAAATCATGTTCAAAGATTCCGTTACATACTAACATACATACGTTTGAAGCTAATAAAAGCGTATTAAAAAGCGAAATCAAATATTACTTTTAATAAAAAAATTGTATCATTAATTATTATTCTGAATGAAACTAAAGTAAGTACAGTTTATGACCGGTATCTACCCTAGAACTTATATCTCAAGGCGGGCGCATTTACGTTGGAGAAGTCTATGGGCTCTAGTAACCGCTTAACACCAGGTGGGCTGTGAGCTCGTCCACCCAACTAAGCTATAAAAAAAGGTATAGATGACGTATGGTTTGTAATCCAGGTTCCAAGCGAAGAATACGATCTTGGCCACGGGAGGCACCGGCCGCTCATACTTCAGTTGCACGTCGGCGCACACCTGCACAGGGGACGGCACCGCCATGGCCGCTCGAGCCGGTCTGCAGAACGAGGATATGGAGTTTGTGCAGTTCCATCCAACTGGTAAGGTTTTTAGGGACATGACCCCCCTCGTTATTTGGACTGTCTTCCGCAGGCAACGAAGGGCTTTCTCCCGTTGTCGGTAAACATCGGAGACGAGAACCAGTGCACCAAGACCCCGGATTTTTACGAGTCCGCGCGGGTAGGTACCTCCACCCTGCCTCTTTCTGCCTTGAAGCAGTAATGTAGTGGGGCAGTCGTTGTAATTATATTGAGACCTTAGAACCTATATCGCAAGGTGGGTTAGCGGAATTTATGTTTAGATGTCTATGGGCTCCAGTAACGACCTAACACCTGGTGGGCTGGATGTGTTCTCGTCTACCTATTTAAGCAAAAAAAAAAAAAAAAATCTGATTCCGATTAAGAATCGAACCCGGACTAGTATAGTTAGAGCAGTCACAACAATGATGAGGAGTTTGCAGGAATCGTAACCGATCCGGAATTAATGTACTAAATACTTCGATATTAATTCAAGTCGAATAGTAGATATTATAGATCATTTGAAATCCAGAAAACCAAGGACATAATAAAACAATATGGCATAGATATATAAGTTTCGAGTCAAAACTTTGACCCGGTGCAAGATATTTCTTGTTTCGTTTATACACAAAGACAATATTCATCTCAGTTCACCACGATTACGTGTCTTTATAAGAATTCTTAAATTCAAATTTGATATTTAAGGAAAACGTTGCGTTCTTCATAGCCGCCAGGTCTGCCAAATCGTATAAATAATTGGATACAAAAAGCGTGGAATATGCAGTTAACTTGTATATCCAGTTTGTATAGCAGATTAACTTGTTTAATTGGAAACAATGAAAAACAAAACAATTTACATTTACATGAGGTTGTTAATGTTAAGAAAATCGTGTCATAACGGGTTTTTCCAATCTGATGGCTAGTGGTAGCTCATGGACATCAACAATAATAAATAAATAAATATTTACTAACAGTCACGCCACGTTTACTAGTCCCGTGATAAGTTCGTAAAGAACTTGTGTTACAGGTACCAGATAACGGAAATAAATATAAGATTTTTATTATACACATACACATATTTAATATACATCCATAACCCTGGAAAAGACATTTATATTTATCATACAAATATCTCCTCTTGGCGGGATTCGAACCCGCGACCCCCTTGTATGGGTCGTATTCTTTCATTTAGCACGTGTAACTTAAAACTATAACGTATCAAAATTTTTCAACGGTTTTGTGTTATTTTGTACAATGGCAGCCCGGACGAAAAACAGCTAACTCTACGTGCCACATTGCGCGCCCTGAAAAAAATATATAAAAAAAATACCGATGTAATTATTTTCGCGAATGGGACTTAATTCAATATAATAATATCTTCTTAGTAGAAACGAATCGGATACGGCCAAACGAGGCAAAATTTATTCCGAAAAATAAAAAAACTATCCGATAACCGTTCGCTGGCATGCGTCGTAAATCGTAAACTCACTTGTTCACGGTTCGTAAACAGCGTTCTATTCGCGATTACTTACTCATTTACTAAATGGGAAAAAGATTTTCTGCTAGATGAGTTTTGCGAACATTGTCTTTTTTCGTCATCGTTTTTTTTTGTTTAGTTATTCGAAGTGTTTTGTTTTGTACACACGTAAATTTAATGATCGTTTTAGAATTAAGTAGGGTTGCTGCGCTTATCCACCCGTATTAAATTTTATATTAATATACCCAATTAAGTACATACCGTATATAGAGTTGCCACATCGTAACGAAATATATTAACCGAATATAGTTAAAATATGTAAATCGAATCGTAACCTTTTAAATAAAAGAGTTCATCCGAACACATAGCATTGTTTAATACTGATAATCCAACTTAAATAATCATTTATATATGTTTATTTATTTTACCGTGCGTGATTTGTTCCCAGTTATAGTTAATTATTCCCTATCCAATTAAGTTTTTAATTCACAATCTCTCTTCCACGTTTCGAATATTTCAATAAACTAAACTTAAAAAGTGACAATAATTGAATCATCATAATTGATGGTTTGAAATTATGTCTATTTTGTGATTTATGCACGTGCCAAATGACCAAAGTAATAAGATTTAAAGTTGCCCGTTACCAACCCCGTGCGCAGGTATCTACGGCGCCGGTTGCCTGATGACCGAGGGTTGTCGCGGCGAGGGCGGCTTCCTCGTCAACTCGAAGGGCGAACGTTTCATGGAACGTTACGCGCCCGTCGCCAAGGACCTGGCCAGTCGAGACGTGGTCTCGCGTGCTATGACGGTTGAAATTATGGAAGGTATATATATTTATTATCTATATATTAATACGTGAAGGAAATTTTGTAGCCCTTTTTACGCAAATTGCGCGGACGGAGGAGTATGAAATTTCCCACACTTATAGAGAATATAGAGAAGGAGTGCAGAATGTTAATATTATTTTAAATTATGCCTAAAAAATACATTAAATCAATAAAAAAAACATTACATACACTACGATGTATTTGACGCACACACGCATGCATACTATTTATTTATTATCAAACTATTATTCTTGACGTCTGTAGTCAAATTGAGAATAGATTAAATATTGTTTGTCTTTATTTATATTTGTCTATAGTGTAGTCTTGGCGAAATCTGTGTTAATAGAAGTATGATAGTCTTTGACAATAGAACCATAATAATGTTCAAAATTATAATTTCTATTAATTATACATAGTTGAATTTCGACTACTGCGGAACTACTACTATTAATGAAATACCTAAGAATTATATAATCATTAGAAATGTTTTGTATATTATATTCATTCATTCATTCATTCATTTGACATGTTGACATTTACTTGACATATTGTATGTGATGGATGATAATAATGACGGTGTGTAGGTCGCGGCTGCGGCCCGGAGAAGGACCACGTTCACCTACAGTTGCACCACCTGCCTCCTGAACAGCTGAAGCAGCGTCTGCCTGGCATCTCGGAGACGGCCATGATCTTCGCTGGGGTCGACGTCACTAAGGAACCCATTCCTGTGCTACCGACAGTGCATTATAATATGGGTGGTACTCCCACCAATTTCCGCGGGGAGGTAAGTTGATAAGTTTTTGTTGTCAGACACAAAGGCTTAAGGTACGCGTCCATTGGCCGGCGTCAGACGCACTGTACACAATGGATTTTACTTTGCAAATGCGCCACCCACCTTGAGATAAGTCTCAAGTATAGTTACAACTCCTGCCCCGCCTTCAAACCGAAACGCATTACTGCTTCACGGCAGAAATAGGCGAGGCGGCAGTACCTACCCGTGCGGATTCACAAGAGGCTCTACCACCAGTAATTACGCAAATTATAATTTTGCGGGTTTGGTTTCTATTACACGATGTTATTCGTTCACCGTGGAAGTCAATCGTGAACATTTGTTGAGTACGTATTTCATTAGAAAAATTGGTACCCGCCTGTGGGATTCGAACACCGTTGCATCGCTCAATTATCCTTTAGGCCACGACGACATCAAAAGTGTAGTTCGGTTGCAGAGCGTGATGAGTGTGGTGTCCGCAGGTGATCACGCACCGAGGCGGCGCGGACCGCGTGGTGGCGGGTCTGCTGGCGGCGGGCGAGGCGTCGTGCGCCAGCGTGCACGGCGCCAACCGGCTGGGCGCCAACTCGCTGCTGGACATCGTGGTGTTCGGCCGCGCCTGCGCACTCACCGTGGCCGACACGGCGCGCCCCGGGGACCCGCAGCCGCCGCTCGCGCCCGTAATGTGCCCCTCTTTTTTACACGCTTTATATTACCTTCATTTGTATGTATGTTTGTCACTGACTCCTTTAAACGCGATTTTGATCCACTTTAAACGGCCAGATTTCATTCGAACTTTGTAGATTTATCGAGGACCGATGGATGATTTGATAAAATTATTTTCCATTATTCAATTTGCAAAATAAGATTTTTGCCAATTTATATAATTTTTATCTATAGTCGATAAGGCAGCAATTGACGTTAAGTACTTAATAGTTTTAAAAATACGCTTTTATAGAAAATTTAAATAAAAAAACAAAATTAAAATTTTTTTAAAAAATAAATAAAACAACACGCTTTATATAAAAAAGCGTGGGGTGCTTTTTAAGATATTATTGAAATAATAATTCTTCTACTCATATCTGTCAGAAAAATATTTATAACTAATAACACCATCCACCCCACGCTTTTTTTACAATAAAATATATTTTACACTATTTTCTATTTAAATTTATTAAAAAAATTTCCATTTAAATTTATTTTCCATTTTTTAGTTGAATTTTATATAAAGCGTAAAAGATATGTCATATACTGACATGACTCTTAAGTCTCAGCCCTATAGCACAGCGCAGTACTGCTTCGGGTCAGAAATAGACGGGGTTGTTCCTATCCGTGTGACCTCACAAGATGCCCTACACCCAGTGATAATATAAGTAAAATATAAAACGGTTGTGTTGTCGACCACAAATATATAATAATTGAAGAGTAAAATTTAAATAGCCCTCGTGCGATAATACTGGGTCGAATTTTATCAATCACGTATCGATGATTCGTCGCGCCTAACTCACAACAGCAAAACAATAATGTAATCGATTATCGTATTTATAACACAATATACACATATATAACTCTTTACGGTAATTATAATTTTGTGTGTGCATGTCGTGCTATAAATTATAAATCAATTTTAAAATTTCTTTAATACGTAATGCGCGTATTACAATACGACAATGATTATGTACTGTTTATCGAAAAATCACAACAAGAAGGATGTAAATAAATCCTTACTTGATTATTCGTAAAGCTTGGTCATATCAGAAATGTGCTGTGATAAGCATAATGGAATCGTTTCTGCAAGTGCATTATCGACGTCCACAAGTATTTTGTTATCTAAATTTGATAACAACGCTACATCTAGTATGATACTAAGGCTGCCTGTCCACCGGAGCAGAGCGGAGAAACTTGGGAAAAATTAACTAATAAGATTGCACAAAATCATTTTGCAATATTATGATTTTGATCGGGTCAGTCACGTTTGAGTCCCGTGAGCTCACCTACTGGTTAGGTTACGCTGACATAGCCTCTCAAGGTTATCAGCTTAGGTATTTTACAATGATTTTGATTTTGTGCAATCTTATTGGTTAATATTTCTCCGTTTCTCCGCTCCGGTGGACAGGCACCCTAAAGGTCGCGCTATCGAACGCAATCACAATCACAACCGGCACAACAAATTAGTTTTTTTATAGTTACGTTACTGTTGTTGGAGTAGAACAGCCGTTTTATATAATTTAAACTACTGCGCTTTTTTTTCTACCCAAACTGATAGCCTTGAGAGGATATGTCAGCGTAATCTAACAAGTAGGTGAGCTCACGGGGCTCAAACATGACGACGCTGCTAACACTAATCCTAGCAAGAGCAGTGCCTCATAAAATCTACCACCGGATCGGAAACCCAACCCACTGACAAAATCCGGCGAGAGACAGTGGGCTGAAAGTTTTTTTTGTCTTATCTAATCACTAGCCTACACTTGTTCTGGCTTCGCATCGGTTGATGGGCGACCCCAAGGGTCTGAAATAATTAGCTTAGAATTAGTTTCAGCGAATCACTGCTTTTTTAGGGCCAGTCTTAGCAAACTCTCTCAGGTTGAGAGTCTCAGTAATTCGGTAGGGAAAAAAACAATAATTAAATGAAAACAAAGAAGCTAAGCGATACTGTGAGCGGGTCGGCTAGTTTTAACATAGTCACGATGATTCTAGAAACAACCAGAACTGTATACGATATATATAAACCGTATTTAATGACCTCACAATATTTTATTTTTGAATTCAGTACATATTATTTTAACGGAATTGTAAGGGAGATAAACATTAAATAAAATAAACGTGTTTTTCTTTTATCAGACAACGGGCGAGGCGAGCATTGCCAACTTGGACAGCATCAGATACGCCAATGGTTCGATCTCTACAGCCGACCTTAGACTTAGAATGCAAAAATGCATGCAGAAGAATGCCGCCGTCTTCAGACAGAAGAGCACCTTGGAGGAAGGTACGTGAATTATGTGTCTTAAATACGTGCGTTGAAGGTTGAATTTTGAATGCAACCTTTTAGATGTGAAAACAAATCAATAGGTTAAGCATAATTTTATTATAATTTAATTCTTGAACTTGGATCATTAACAAACGAAAATGTGCGCAGGCATATACATATATAAATGTTGTTTTATTTATTTACTCATACGCAGTTCTGATTTTTCGTACTGTTCACTCAGCATGCTGTCTCACTCGAGTCACGCGTCACGTCATCTGTGCGTTTCTGAGATTGACGTTATATGCTTCTGTATCGACGCTGCTAGGTACATACTAGACGTTACTGCAATATATATGCAGCGTTTTTTACTGGTGGTAGGACCTCTTGAGAATCCGCACGGGTAGGTACCACCACCCTGCCTATTTCTGCCGTGAAGCAGTAATGCGTTTCGGTTTGAAGGGTGGGGCAGCCGCTGTAACTATACTTGAGACCTTAGAACTTATCTCAATGTGGGTGGCGCATTTACGTCGTAGATGTCTATGGGCAGTAACCACCTAACACCAAGTGGGCTGTGAGCTCGTCCACCCATCTAAGCAATAAAAAAAAAAGCCGTCCCGTGACGTCATTCAACAAGATTCGTTTCCGGGTAGACAGATGATGGCTTCATGACAGCTAACACATGTTCCCTGAAAATAATTTCAGTATATTATATTGATGTGGCGTTTTGCCGTGGCGTTATTTTAAGAAATAGATAGCTTATGAAGGAAACATAAGGTCCAAATCTCTGCTTAAGTAATGACTGTACTTTTCTATAATTTTGTGGTCCGGAGCTAAAAGGGTCAAAGTACATTATTGTATGAAATGATATTCTAGTGCCAGTTTATTGAAAAAGTATTGTATTTTTCTGTGTTAAAAGGGCGTTAGTTTATCAACAATAATTTCATAGTTACTGTCTACGCTGCTGAAAATACCAATGCCGTGCGCGCATTCATTAGCTTAGTTATTAATGGCTCATTGTTCTTTATTAAGCCGATTTAAGTTTAACTAGCGACTCACCCTCGCTTCGCTTCGGAAACTGTAATTTATTATTGACTTCTCCACTATTTAATGGGTGTTCCATATAAACCTTCCTCTTCAATCACTCTATCTATTAAAAAAACCGCATTAAAATCCGTTGCGTAGTTTTAAAAATTTAAGCATACATAGGGACAGAGAAAGTAACTTTGTTTTATACTATGTAGTGATATAAAAACGAAATTTTAGTTTAATTTGTACCGTCTCGTGCCTAGCGTCGTTTACTCCTTTTTGTTTATATTTTAATATTGTACACATGTATCTGAACAATATAGATATGTTATTGAAATAGTGTGTTTGACTTTTATTATATTCCGAGTGAAAATATCCCGCGAACACGAAGAATCAATAACAAACCACACCTGTACACACAGTAAACACACACTGACTTCAGTACGCTTCTAAATAGTTTGAAAGGAACGTAATCCGAAAGCGCATGTTAATTCAAGTTCGTAAAGTCGTAACTCGCACAATAATATCTCGTCGAAGGAGGACTTAATGTGACGGAATAGAATCAAATGAAATCAAAAAATTTTTTTTATTCAACATAAATGAAATTACATACTTGTTGAACGTCAAAAAGAACTACCGCCAATTCACAAAAACTAGCCTCCGTTCTGAGAAGAACTGGCAAGAAACTCAGCGGGCATATTGTATTTTTTCTTTTTTTTAATATATTTTTTTTTTAAATATTAATTTTTAAATATTAATTAAATATTTTTAAGAGATAGATGGAAGAGGTATTTTGAAAGGTTGATGAATGAAGAGAATGACTGGAGTGGTGAACTGCAAAATGTTCCGATAAATACTGGTGTAGTAAGGGAAATAAGTATGCAAGAAGTACGAAAGGCTGTACAAGATATGAAGAATGGAAAATCTACTGGACCAGATGGTATTCCAATAGAAGTGTGGAAGTTTCT